CTCACTCACTCACTCACTCACTTTCTCCCTCTCTCTCCCTTTACTAGCGATACATTTATATCGATATTTTATAACTCATATTTTTGTTTGAATTTTTTCTTATACTTCAGAGCACTTCCTGTGGCACCCGATAAGGCATCGGTGGTGTCGATGAACAAGACATCAGCACAGGTGCATCTGGACTCGTGGCACCATGGTGGATGTCCCATTAATAAATTCAAGATTCGGTACCGCATGTTAGGCAACCCCAGCGCTGACTGGATTGACATCAACCACGGCCTCCACGACAAGCAAATTGAGTTAAATAGACTTAATATGAACTCCAGATATCAGCTCCAGATCACTGCCAATAACGAGGTCGGCTTCACAGGTAATGTCACCACTGAATTGAATCCCTTATCAAAAATTGTATCGTAATTATTATCTCGTTTCAACCAATCAGAGGCCGAATACACGTTCTCAACGCATCCGGAGAGCCATGAGCTGAACCCTCGAGCGGCGTCGGGCCACACGATCCGAGGCGTGGCCAACAAGTCGGCCAACCATACCATCAACGAGTATTCGCTGGTGATTCCGGTGGCCATCACTCTACTGGTGATTGTCATACTTCTGGTGATTGTGGCGCTAGTCTTACGCAAGAGTTCGGGCAACGGCTCGATCTATAGCCGAAAGCAGGACTCGTTGCAGATGTCGCACATGGGTTCGTGCAAATCCGGTCGATCCACTTATACCAACTCGCCTTACAATACACCGCATACCTGTGCCAACGGCGGCGAAACGCTGCCCAAAATGAATGGTGAGGGCAATGGAGGGCAACAGTTTGTGGGCCTCCGTATGGGCGATGAGCCCCTTTACGCCACCGTTAAGCGCACCCCTCGCGCCCCCAGAAGTGAGGCCCACATCTACTCGTATCCCATACAGGGCTCGGTGTCGGAGATGGTGCCCACGAATATGCAATTGAGTGCCAACTGTGCCAATACTTCACAACAATTGCCCCAAACGGCGACTCTTATTGTGACCGTCGATGACAGGGATCTCGAAGAGAAACTGTTGGATGAGTTGCAACAACAGTGTCCTCTCAATGAGCACCGGCTCTCTATGTCTCACTGCAGATGAACCGCACAATCGGTATTTGCTATTCCTTTGTCATTATATTTGTTTTAAAGAGAGCGAGAGAGAGAGAGAGAGAGAGAGAGAGAGAGAGAGAGAGAGAGAGA